TATAACATTCCTTGTGATTGTAGACGCCAACACTTATCCCTTGTGATTGTGGACTCCACCACTTATAACACACCTTGTGATTGTGGACTCCACCACTTATAACATTCCTTGTGATTGTGGATTCCAACACTTATAACACACCTTGTGATTGTGGACTCCACCACTTATAACATCCCTTGTGATTGTGGACTCCACCACTTATAACATTCCTTGTGATTGTAGACGCCAACACTTATCCCTTGTGATTGTGGACTCCACCACTTATAACACACCTTGTGATTGTGGACTCCACCACTTATAATACACCTTGTGATTGTGGACTCCACCACTTATAACATTCCTTGTGATTGTGGATTCCAACACTTATAACACACCTTGTGATTGTGGACTCCACCACTTATAACACACCTTGTGATTGTGGACTCCAATACCATGGAGAAACTCGAAGACAATTATACTGATTTATCCACAATAACCCATCGTGCCATATGATAATGTTAAAACAAGATATGAACCAGGTAAAGAAAGATAAAGGAAGCCTTTTATATCTACAAAATTAATAACATCTAACATGTATGTTGGAAAAATCTGGATACCCCTTTTGAAATCATTTAAGTAAGTTAGTTGATTCAGTGTTAATGGGGGAAGAGACACGGAAAGCAAGTACTGGTCTTTCATCTTAAACTTGCCAGACTGCAGCAAGAATCATTTTTAAGTTTAACAACTGTATGTGTTTAAATATTCTAAGGCTTCCATATAAAGATAAATTATATAATTCGTTGAACACAAAATAACAGTTTGTTCAGTGATACATAATATCGAACCCTTTTAAATTCAGCAGGCCCTCTAATGTCTTATATTTACCCGCTTTTTTAAGGCTTCGTATATTTTCCAATGTTTCATTGAATTTTCCTATTCGGTGGAAAAAAAAACGAAATTAAATCTGAAGTTTACGATCGTTAATTGAAATTTCTTTTATCTTTGTGATATAAAGTGAACACAACAACAACAAGCGGCAATACTTTCAATTTAACACAGAAAGAAGACAAAACAAAGTCCGAAAGGTATAATGCTAAAACCCGGTTTCGATACCTGTGGTGGGCACAGTACAAATAGCCAATTGTGTAACTTTGTGCTTAACTACAAAAAAAAAAAAACGTTTATTTTCTGATGCGAAATTTACATAGATTGCCAACTATTGGCGTTCTGTTTCTTAAACAAATTAGTAACTATTATATATTTTTAACTGACGCCAACACTGGATTTCCAATATGGCAACCTGTATTATTGCTTTATGTGGAAGTTTAAGGGATGAGTTGTAAAAATTATCATCACCTATCGGTGAGATTTGTAATTGCATGACAAAGAAAATTAATTTTAGCATTTTTTGTGTCTTGTTGTGTTCACGTTTGATAAATGTTTTCACGTGACTGACAAAGCCGAACTATATTTCAAAGTGCAAAAATATCGGTGTTATGGTCCAATGCGGAAGTTCTAAATGTTTTTATACTTGTAATATACTCTACTAGAGGGCGCAAGATCTCAAGTTGTCTTTGGAAATTTCCGGGTTTTGTTCCGATAAACTTCACATGATTCTTAAGCTTAAAACGTGTAATTTATAATTCTGTCACAACTTAAAGCTGTGATTGTATTTACTAGTAGCCCTCTCCGCCGGAATGAATGACTTTAAGAAACTTAGATACAATATAACACAGTTACTAACTTTCAACATTACCAAAAACTCTTTAATGGCGCTAAAACCCTTTGCTATGTAGTTTTTTTATAGTAAAAAAAAAAGGCTTAAAAGTTTTGCGGAAAATTTGACTATCAGCGATAGATAAAATGTAACGTAACCAAACACGGGCTTTCTAACATAGGTCATAGTTTTAAGGAATAAATATACGTGTGTTTGTGTAAAAATTGAATATTATTTTTGTTAGGAAATCTATAATGACCATTTGACAGTAAAAATCGTCCAAAATTATAA